AACAACAACGAAAAAAATATGGATCCTGTACAGTGTCAGATGAGAGATCTTCTTCCTTAAACAACGTCAGTAATTGAAACAATCCAGGGAAAAGGTTCTACTGAGTACTTTTCTTCCTCGTGCCTGACATGTCATTTATATCGTGTATTTTGAGCTCATTTGCTGATTCTTAACAACTTTGACAGGCGCAATTCAATATTTTATAGCCAAAAAAAAATTAATAGAGATTTTTGGAAAAATGTTAATCATTATTGAGTTGATATGAGTTGTAATATATTAATAATATTTGTTACATATTTACAGATTTTTAGACTTTAAAATGGGCAAAGGATCTCTTTTATGAATGAAAATATACTAAATAAATTTTAATAATGTTAGTAATTTAATAATAGCGTTTAAAATATTCCTCGTGAAAGTATTTTTTTTTATTAATACCATTTTTAATTATGTTTGATAATTCTCTTTTTAAGAACATTTTTTTTACATTTAAATTTAGTGATATAATACGCAGCAGTATTGGTTCATGCCTTGAATATGTTATTTCAATGACTAAACATCCTTTTTACAAAAAACTACAGAGTTCATTTAGAATTGAGGTGGGTAAGTATAGTTAAATAAGTGTTAATTAGACCTAATGGGCAAGGAGTGTGGAAGAAATAAGAATTAACGAAGAAAGGTCAAGAATACGAAGTAATAATATATAAATATATATATATATATACACTGACAGGCAAAATATTCCACCCACTTGATTTTTTCATGTTTTCATCTAAAAATATTTCATTAAAAACAAAATATATATATATATATATATAAAATTTTCTAGTCAGTGCCATTTTCTCATAAGTTTTATATAAAATATTAGGCCAAAGGTCACCAAATGTACGCAGTTTTTACATCCTGTATTATTTATTTAACGTTTTGGCTTCAGGAGCCATTTTAAAAATCCTGCAAACTAATTTTAATTCAGTTTTTATAGCTCGAAATGCATCCTTATTAGACACATATTAATTTAACAACTATCAGTTATATAAATAGTCCAAATTCTATTTCATAAAATTTTTTTATTTACGTTGAATAAATAATTTTAATTTTTATTTCTCACGATGCAGGCCAACACTGGACCACGCAAATATCTCTTGGTCTTTTTTTGTCATTTCTTCTCTCCTCCTCCACACTTTCCTCATCCTTTCGGCGTGCTGTATGTTCTTCTCCTTCGACCACTTCTTCACAGCACTCCTCTTTTCAACAGTAACAACCATCGTTTGGTTACTCCAGGTTCTAAAATCGAATTTATCCAAACAATCCTCGCTTGTTATACTAGCTTTGATTTCATTCTTAATGTGTTCCGGATAACCCGTTATATTCTTGAGTCCTAGCATTTTAAAAAAAGTTTTCTTATTGTGTCCATCTCTCTCTAGTTTCTTCGGGCCATAAGTATTTCGCAGGATCTTCCTTTCGGTCTCAACAAAATCTCTACACTTGTGAACCAGAATGTTTCTGCACTGTACTAAGTTCCTCCTCTCCTCGCCCCTCCCAAATAATTTTTTTTTATATATTTAATATATTGTTAATAAATTTAATTTGATTATACTTTGAACCATAAATGATATAATTGATATATTAAACCTTTAGGAACATTTATGATTCATTATTTACAAGATAACTGATAAGAGAAATTAATAAGACATGAAGGGTAATAAAAGATGAGATAAGAGACCACCAGAGGGAAGGATGACAAAAGCAGCTGACCGCGATGGGTCGGCCTGATGTGAGAGGGCACAGCTGATATCGATCCCTACCAGCTGCTCCGCCGGCCCCTTCACAACTATTTCATTCATCCCTTTTTATGACCCTTCTAATAAAGTAATAATATTATATTTTATCAGAGCAATTAAGTTTAATAGATTCGATTAAAAAGATTATTACCAAAGAGATGCCGATATAAATCACTGACTATAATGGTCCTTAAAGGATAGTGAAAAGATATTTTAAAATTGTAATTTAATTTATGATCTGCTACGGATGTTAAATACTTTTACAGATATACATTTAAATAGAAAAATATAGAAATAATAAAAATGCATGCCAAATAGGTAGGTGTTACACATCAGCTACAATTTTTTCGAACATAAAAGATAATTAAATATAAATTAATATATTAAAATTAAAATGAACCTGTATAGATAGATGAATAGATATTGATATTTATTATATATGTAGGTATGCTATAAGTTATAAATAGTATGCATATTTAATTAATTATTATGATTCAATCAATGTCTTTACTTTGAGATAAACCCTTCTCAAAAGGACTTTCTGTTTCAAAGGTACTACATGTTGTCTGTTTACTAAGTTAATTATACATTTACTAGATTTAGAACAGAATTTAGATGATAGAAATTATTAGCATGAAATAAATTCGTATTCCTCGAGCACTAGCAGATCCAGGATGTAATTTTGGGGGGAGCGGCTTCCACTCGAAAGTTTTTTTTTTCATAAAAACAACGATAAATACTTTGGAAGAAAAGAAAAAAAAACTAACTATATGATCTAACTAACCTATAGGAAGTGGTATTTAAGTGATTCCTAAAGTCCTTCTATATGTAATTACACGAACAATAATACTTTAAGAGATAATTTTTTAATATTTTTTTACATAAAACATTGTTATATTTCACCATTTTGGGGGGACTTCAGGTCCATAGTCCCCTCTCTTTACCCCGGTAGATCCACCCTTGTCCTCGAGCCACAAGATAAAATGTTTTTCTAACACATAATTTACAATAATGAGGCGATGACTACTTATCTATTACGTATACCAACAACTTATCTGGTGTTTACGGTTATGCTTAATTAAAGAAAGAAGAGAGATGACAATGTGATGTAATGCTTCTCCCCCAATTTCTGTCTCCTCTTTCTTCTCATACCATTTGCTTGTGCTCTTCTCTATATCACTTACTTCACGTCCCACAGTGCAAGTTTCCAACCCTGCACTTTACAACCCTCGATCTGTGGTGAACCCTTTGCAGGCTATAAAAGCAGGAACGTACCCATTTGCTGCTCATTGAAAATTAATAAATATTTGTATATATTCTTAATATTGGGGCAGGGAATCAATAGACAGCAGGGCCTATTAAAAAAAAAACACTAGTCCGTGGTATAGACCCCTTTTTATCAAATTATTAACATCCGCCTGAAACTTCGTAAATAGTTTCATCTCATCGTAACCTACAACTATTTTATTTACGAAAACTTTTGGAATTGAGACATTTTCAATCTGGAGGGGGGTAAACTTTGTCTATAAAAATAGGTACTAAAAACTAGTAAATATTTATTTGCTTTCTACTTGGATCGTAAGATAATTTGATCACAAAATTGTTTTAAAAATGGCCTACAAAAATATTGGGCCGTTTGTCCTATATAACCTCGTTATTCTGTAAATTGTGGGGTGTAGGTCACGCCAAACAGTTCAATATTTTTTAAGGACGCCTTTTTTCTCGATTTTCTTATCAAATTATCTTACGATCCAAGTAGGAAGCAAATTTGTATTTACCAGTTTTTAGAAAGTAATTAAATAAACAAAGTTTGCTCACCTCCAGATTAAAAACGCCCCAATTCCAAGAGTTTTCGTAAATAAAATAGTTCGATGAGATGAAACTATTTACGAAGTTTCAGGCGGATGTTAATAAATCGATAAAAAGAGGTATGTACTACGGACTGCTAACTTATACATATCAACAGCGGACCAATGCTTAAAGGAAGGAATCTTTATAAACAATTTCATTTTAACCTTCATGAACATCCGATGGACTAATATGGTAAAACTGCATCGCTTAACAGCCACAACTGCATCTAAGAAAGTACATATATACAATTTCCTTATTTTCACTGATAATCTGGAAAAGGTGAAAATACAGAGGGAAAGATGAAAAAAAAATTAAATTTTGACTACATCTTAAAATTTCAACATCGCAATAAAAATTGTCAGAAAATAATTTAAGAAGGGCATTAGGTACACTCTTCAATCATAAATCAATAAAAGATGCTAATAAATTTTCCGATGGCACTACATCAATAAACCCGAGTTTGTAAAAGAAAATGGTGGAGATAACTGGGATTAACACATTGGCGTATCAATAAAAAGAAGAAAAAAATTCAAAATTGGGCTTAAGTAGCGGAGGAGGAAGAGCCTGAGGGTGGAAGAGTGTTCTGGATAAGTCAGGTCTCGGAAGCTCCTGAGGCCACCATAACTTTTAGGAGATTTATAGCTGGCGGCACGGTAGTCTTTACAAATTGTTTTAACCCATCACGGGCAGGCCCTACGAAAAAAATAGCCTAATAAATTATTCACCGAAATATCTAATTGAAAATTATACCTCCTTAATGATATGTTTGCTTTCACTCATTCCTCCGGCAGCAAGCGGTGGTTAAGTGGCAAATTCATATCGTTTTAATTAGGTCGTTTGAGGAGCAGCGGTTTCTCCTCACTCCGCCTATTCCCTCTTTGAGTGATAATTTACAATTTATAATGACGTTTTATCATTTTCCTTAGAATATGAACTTCCGACGATTACACGATACATTAGAGAAAGACGTATCAAATTTATGGATTCACTAAAAGTACTGTCGAACCCACTATTCAATACATTAACACCAGAACCAGCTCAAGTTCGTTGGCAAATTGGCTCAATCTCTTCTCAAATTCTTAGAATGTAAGATAATAATAAGTTAGCTTGTAAGTTAGGTCGTAGGTTAGTAATATGATAATAAGAAACACAAAAAATGGGTGAGCCCCATCACCTAATTGTTAACTTAAAAAATTGTAAACAGCACATAAATCTTTGGTAAATCCACTTAAAAGCATTAAACTGTAACACAATTGCAGAAAAAGGCATTTAAAAGCACCAAACAGTAGCAAATCACATTATTAAAATCATTTTAAATTAAGGATCTGTATAAATAAAATCATAGAATACCAAGCTTTTTAGCATTCCTATATGAATTTGATACATTCAGTATACCTTGCGTCTCTAACATACAGGTTAATAGTCGACCTGACAACGTTTCACCAATTTAGGTATCACTATGCCAGAAAAAAACAAGATCACGTATATGCAGAAAGAACAAAACAAACATTTGACAAACAACAGCTCACCGAGCCATACTAAAGGCAACGAAAGGTTGCATGATCTTGCACACAGGAAAGTTATATTAATGAACTAATCAGAATGAATAAAAAAAAAATAAGCAAAACTGAAATGTAAAAATGTGTTAATTAAATTAAATAATATATCAATAAATACAAAATAAAATGTTCCAAAGTGTATATAAACATCTATACTCAACAAAATCCAGTGGATATACGGCTACTCCATAAGAAATATTTCTATAAACGAACATATAGCACAAAAAAAGCCATACAGTAATTAAGATACGAACGGCAAAAGCTTTGAGTTCAAATATAATTTTCGAACTTTCAATACAAAATACAATGGAACCTCCATTATTACGGAACATGAGACCTATTCCGTGTAACATGGAATTCCGGATATGAGATGGTATGATTGGAAAAAGGTGATAAGTGATAATTACAAAAAAAAAAAAAAAAAAAAAAAAAAAGAATAATAGCTAAGAGTAAAAGTGTAAAGTGAAATATATTTAACATCTCTTCCTTACATTATCATAAATTTAATATTTTGTTCATCACCTAGTAGATAAAGGTGTACATTGACGATATAACTCTGCTTTTTGGTGCAGACAGACAAGGTAAATTCAGTTTTCTATGAACTCAAAAATGTTATTTATCAGATTCATCTTTATCCCTCGATTCTCGAATTGAAGCAAATGTCACTTATTAAGAAGTATTTAAAAAAATAATTGTTCTAGATCACAGAGGAATCAATGGGAAGGGAGGCTTTCGGGCTGAAGCCTCCTTCTCCCTCTAAATAAAATGGTAAAATATAACCATGTTTTATAGAAAAAAATAATAAAAACTATCTCTTAAAGTATTATTGTTCTTGTAATCACATTTAATAGGACTTCAAGAATAGCTTAAACACCGTTTCATATAGGTAGTTAATTTCTTCTTTTTTTAAAAAATTAATTATCGTTATGTATACGAAAAAAAATCTTTGGGACTGATGCGCTCAAAATTAAATCCTTGATCCGTTAGTGTTCTGGAGAAATTATTATATGCTTCCTTTTAACAGACATAGCATCACTTTTTCACTTTATATATCTGTGGAGTACGTTTCGCACAAGCAAGGAGTAGATGAAATAGGATACAAAATTGATATGAGAACACCAACGTACTTCATTCGCACAATCTGTGAAAAATTCATCAAAATCGGATGGTGTTATGAATTTGACCACTGACAGGTATACCAGAGACCGTGATTACGGAGTTCTTTAATAATCCAATGTACCATTCTCGAGTGTAGCGGTACAGGTTCGAATCTACCGTGGATGGTTCCAAATTTATTTTGTATCGAATCTCATATGGAACAAATCTCGATCTTTTCACTTTGGTTACCCCAAGAACAACTCCATCCCATCTCCGTATTTCAAAAATGACGAGAAAGGATCATTATAAAAAATAAATGAGACTGGCAGATATGGCCAAACAATGGCGAATAAGACATTCTTTGCATAAATACAAAGCTTCAAAAAACTCAAATATTAGTTTAAATACCTAGATTAAAAAAAAGAAATAATAATGCAATTTTTTATAAAGATTATATTCTTCATATATTTAAATTTCCATAAGCTTTATGTAATATAATTTCATATCAGCATGAAGCAAAAAAATGAAGTAAAAAAAAACCGTTATGGATAATCTTTTTTTCAAATATGGCGAATCTGGATGTGCAGTATTCTACTTTATTGAGATATTTAATTAATAGTAAGTTTTAGTATTTAATAATATCCAGTCATAAAAATAACAATCTTCAGTGAATCCATACCTTCTATGAAGGGTGTCAAGAAGTAAACGTTATAAGCAAAAGTTATTCTTATGCATCCGTATCTGACCTATGACTCCGATATTTCCCGCTTAGATAAATTTCTACTGTGGAATTAAGAATAAATTTATGGTATATAAATATGTATAAAATCATTTCTTCATACAATAATCAAATTATTATTTTAATTTTCATTATAGATACGAATTTAATTTAACTCAAAAGATAACTTATAAGGAACCAAAGATATCGACGACATATGGCTTGCGATGTTTACCTGGAGGTCGAATTGCTCTGGGAAAGAAATGTTAATAACATGACAGTACCTATTATGACTAGAATATATTGGACTTATATGTAGGTTACAGACACAGCGTATTGGGAAAAGTGGTCAAGGATAAAGCAAAAATATCCAGAATAGGTAACGGAAAGTTCAAAAGGAAATAACTGAGTTCAGTGGGAAACAAAATGATGTAGAATCGACAAGAAAACAGAAGATGAACTTTACAAATAAGAAATAAATTATATTACTATTATAATATTCTTTCTTTTTTTTCTATTTTATTTCTATACTGGGTGTATGTTTTATTTTATTTTGAACCTATTATATTTCGTTCCATAGTATATTGAAAGAAAATAATATGCATTAAATCTGCACGGACAAAGAGTATATAATGTAAAACATATTTTAGAATATTTCTTATATAGGATTACAATAAAATATATATATATCAAGATATATTGAACATTATGATCTTGAAAAAAAATCGTAAATTTTAAAAGACTTCTTAATGTGGCAAAAGATCAACAAGGTCTGTAAAACAAACAGAAAAAAATATATAATAAATGAATTTATCATGATTTCTCAAACATAGGCGTTTGAAAATAGCATTTTTCTGATGTGCCAACCAGTGGATCAACTTTCTTTTAAAATTTTTTCTTCGGAAAAATAAAGATTTTTAATATAAAATTTTAACCGAAATAAAAATATCGATATTTTAATATAATATTTTTTTTTCCCAAATATTAGAAGTCACAAGGGAAATATATATCATAACGCATCCATACTACTGTTTTTAAAACAATTGAAAAATATTGCTATCTATTTTTAACTATAATATTTTATTATTTAAAAATAAAAAAGAATTTGGGAGGTTTGAAACGTCCTACGTTTCAAATACGTATCGTTACAAAACGATACTAGTTTGAAACGTCCCAAAAAATGTCAAAATAAAGATTGGAATATAATAAGATTGAAGATGAGTTTTTTATTGTTTTCCAAATTATAATATCCAATGCTATAGTAATATATATCTATTCGTTATATTTAGCGTTGCATTATGTCATAACACTTATATAATTTAAAAATTTGTCATCAATCTAATATTTTCAATTAATAAATTTATTTTATATAATTTTTATTTCATTGACGGTATTTTTTGTTCCTTATTTTACAAATATTATTATTTCGGATACCTATACTATTATGGTTTATACTATAAAACCTACTGAAAATAAAAATGTATATTATTCATAGCACAGTCGAACCCGCGGAGGGAAAGAAATTCTAGGATTAAATTGGAGAAATAATTTTTTTTTTCGATAGTTCATATCCGCTTCTCTGAATAATCTGAGCTAAATACTTAAACAATCACAATATACACTATTTTTAAATTATAACGTTAAAATAAAATATATAAAATATTTTAGCTACGAAATATAAGCTTGAGTAAAAAAAAGAATGCATTGTTGTTTATTATTATTAAACCATTACTGTAATTAAGTTTGTTTTGTTTTTTCAACTGGCTTTCCAGGACTATACATGGTTTTATATAATTACTTTTTTTTTCTTCCCGAGTAATTAAGGTGATAAAAAAATTAAATAAAAGAATCCTACAAAATGAAATGAAATAGCAAAAATATATTTCTACATTTATGTGAATTTTATAAATAAAAATGTTTTACATCTATTAGATAATTTAAGAGGTAGATGTTACTGCAAGGTCGGGGGTTAACCACCGTCTAAGAGATCGATATTGATTTAGTCAAGTCCAAGGTCGACCGTGAAATGATACTTGATACTTGATAAAGGAGAAAAAATCCAACAGGTTAAACATGTATACTATTAAAGATGATGAAGTGTGAGGGTGACCCTATGTTATGTTAGGGGATGTAGCGAGGAACTAAGTTCGAGGAGAACCTGGATCCAGGCAACGACAGCGAAAGTGGACGGGAGCCGGGGGTGGCTATCGACCGCCTCCGCCGTGACGTCACTACCATGACGCCGTCAGGAGTGACGTCAGCTAGCGGCAGCCCAATGGGGCGGGAGGCGAGAGTGACGTCGTCCGTGACGTCGCCGCTAAGGGGGGGAGGGCAGAGACGGATTTTATATCAGCGACCGCCTAGTGGTAGGGAGCCGCCAGTCGTTCGCGAGTCAGTGACTGTCTGTGTGCTACTCTGAGAACAGGAGGAGTCCAGCTCTGGAGCCAGCCTCACCGAAAGGTACGTCCCAACAAGCTACCACGGCCGTACCTCATATATCTCTCTGTGCCGTACGATATGTTCCGGTCGCGATGAGCTCTGATAGAGATATGAACGAGATAATAGCGCGAGTATGATCAACTGGGCTCAGAATCACTGCAGCAGTGACGCGAACAACAACCGAACCTCGAACCACACGGGACCAGGACTTAAAAAGAGAGGATTTGCCTTTAGTAAGTGGGAAAAATTAACAAATATTACTTGCTTTTACTAACAGACTAACAATGGAGCTGTTGGGGTAGTTTGTGTATACTAATTGTCGCTTCACTAACCCCCCGCGCCCTGCGCCACCGGCATCTCTCCGCCGTATTTTTTTTCATTCAAACTTTCAACCACATTTTTTTTTTTTATTATTGTTTTCAAATCACTAACAAATCAGAAAATTAAAAAAAAAAATGAAGTTTCTTTATAACAGTTTCTTTAAACAGTTAAAGCAATAAAAAATAAAATAAAAAAATTGTAATAATAGTAAAATAATTCTACTAATGTAATATAATAATACAGCTACATAGTTATTAAATCATTGCATTACAATAACAATATATAAATTTATTCATAAAATCTTAAATCCGCTATTTATTAAATAAAATAGTATTAGTATTAAAAACATTTCGTCAGTTTATTACAAAAAGTCATTAAGTAACATTTCCTATAATTACATTGCAATATTTTGATTAATTTCCTTTCCGTGAAATCAAACATAGTGCACTTAGTTTAACTATTTTTGAGAAATGAAAAGTTTTGTCAGGAAAGTGTTTTTTTTTTTTTCATCGTTAAATAGAGTCGAAATTAAGAAAAATGTGCATGATATTTTTGGCAATAAACCGGCGATGTATGCACATCTGAATTATACATACTCACAAAAAAAAGAAAAAGATTAAATATATATGTTTATTAAACTCAAAACAATATTTTATTTATTCATATATTTTTTAAATGACGTAGTGAATTTTTTATACGAATTAAAAATTGTTTCATGAATGGTTAATTATTAATTAAACATAACATAATACTCAAATGAAGGTGATAAAAAAATTTTTATTGAGAAAAATCAACGACAGAGAAAAAATTATAATACAAAAAATATATTTAAAATACGTGAGCGTGATAAAATAAAATAAATCATTAAAACATTAATATGATTAACCGTTAATATCGTACTTTATATCTATTTAATCGTTTATTAGATAGTGATAAAGCATAAAGTGATAAAAGTGTAATATAATGAGGGGCGGCCGTAGACGGCGTAGTGGGCCGGCATGATCCGCAAGCCATTGACGGGGAGATACCGTTCCGCTGCGCCTACGCCTACGCCTACACCGGTATCCCTTCTTCCAACGGTAACAATTCATTTTTTATTTAACATAAAGCCCTCCCTCTAAGCTGGCTGCTTACACCCACTCGCCACAAAGCCCGTATCACTTTCCCTCGAAATTAAAATCGGAACGAGTCCGAATCAGATGAGCGATTCGAAACGAGTCGAGACCTCGGTTTTAAAATCAACATTAAAAAAAAATCATTGGAGTGCTCCTAACATGAAATAATAAAAACATCTTCGCAAAAGGATAGTGAATAACTGTATGTTTATAAAAGTGAAGTTTATTGGATACATAAACAAATGTAAGTAAATATTAAAATTTCAAAAATAAATAAACAAAGCTTAACCAAATAATGTATATATATTAAAAATGATAATAACATATATATATACTTTTTTTTACTCTATTTAAATACCCTATTGAATAGCTATTTAAAAAAAATTCTATTTACACGCACATTAAGTTATAGAATAAAAGCTAATAAAATAATTACATAATAAATTAATAGGAACGAATAATAAAACATAGAGCATGTAATATATTTACTTTGTTTTTAATGTTTATTTCATCATCTAACAAATTAATATTAAACAAAACGTGCAGATAAAAAAAAATGTCACTCCTTTTTACTTGTGTCCGTTCAGATCTTAATGTTTACACAGAACTGTATACTTAAACAACTATAGTGTACAAATAAACAAATAATATTTATAAGTAAAATACAATCCATTTATTATTCGAAAAACAGATACGAAAATAATTTTGAGTGTCATCTAATCTATGGATCCTAACTCAGAGTAACGTTACGTCTAAAAAAAGATTTGAAAAAAAAAACGTTAATAGTTGAAATTAAAAATGCTGGTTGTTAACATACTATAATTGTAGGATACAAATGAATGTTTAAAGTAAAAAAAACAAAAAAAAAACAGCAAATATATATTTAGGCATCTGAAATAAAATTGATCAAGATTTGTACATGTTTATTTAACTGAAGGTGGCACGGGCCGGACTATAGTAACAATATGATTGGACATATGAATGAAACTTCAACATTTCATGAAATCGTTTCTTAATGTAGTAACTGCCATCTTCATTAATATATTGCAATTACCAATGAATAGATACATTCTAAATTAATAAAGTGATGGGTATAAAACGGGTCATGTGATTAGAACTCACGTGGGGCGGAGCGGTGACGTCGATCGGGGGTGGCTAGTGACGTCATTGCCGCAGTAATGACGCCGCCGTTCGATAGACCGCCCTCGACCTCCACATTACACATTCACGGCCGCCCCCAGCCGACTATAGATTCACCAGTACATGAGCATAATTCAGCAGAATGTATGCATGGATGCAATGCAATTGCTAATGCCGATTACATGCAAAGGCATATCGGGGATGGAGTGTCAAACATTAAATCGCAAAAACCTGATAGCAATATAATCTCCTTCCAAAGCCCACCTTACACGGTTAATATTATTGAATCAATATTATTGAAACAATATCTTGAACTTGGTATATATATATTGCAATTGTCACAATACATCACTCAGACAGTCAATATATTCGATATTGACTCATAAATATGGACAGTCCCTTAAAGAAGTACATACATTTCCAACTAAAGCTAAATACATACTAAATAACACAAGTAATGATTTCCCTTAATAACTAGAAATTATTTCTTTATTCGTTTATTATTGGAATAAAATCTCATTATTATATTAAGCGATAGAGTAAATTAAATTATAAATATATAATTATTTAGTGTATATAAAATTTAATTAATTGTGCATGTACATAACTACTAAAAAAATAACTATATGCTTGCATCAGTTTTACTATCATTGAAAAGATACTGTATATATAATGAGAAATCGATACATAGTTAATTCACCAGTCGTTAACACAACTAAATTTTCAAGAATTCGAATATGGTCGTTATTCAAATGATATTTATCATGAATATTAAAAAGAACGTTTTTCAAAATACCGTATTTAAATTAACACTTGTAATTAAATTCAATAAATTTAATATTTAAAATTATCACAATGTTAATTCATAGCTTAATATGAAAATGAAACATTAACCATAAACTATTTAATCGTAAACAGTTGTATTTTTTTTAATATAACAATATAAATAACGTTAATGGAAGATCCTATAACAAAATAATTATTTTACCTGCATCATGCTAATTTTATCACAAAATAGGTAACAAGTTTTCCCTTTATATCTATCATGTCAATAATATTTGTACCGTAATATGATATTAAAATCAAAATGTACTATTTTTTCGTTTATTCATTTTTTTAAATTAATAAGCTGAAATATGAAAACACATTTTCATTGTGCAAAAACTAGAATAGTATTAGTAAAATAATAGTATACAAGGTATCCTATTATTAAAAAGTATTAATTGTATGTTATAAAATATAAATTATATTATTTTTACACAAATGTTTACGGTACCTATTGATTACACCAAGTAGCAAAAACCTGCAGGTATAAAAATTAAAAATATACGGTAGTCAAAAAAACTGTATGATTTTTGTGAGAAGGAATTAGTTTCAATCACTAATTCCTTCTCATATCATATCAACGGTCAACCATCTCTACATCATTCTGTATGATTTTTATTTTATGAACTTTAAATTTCTGTTAAATTTTTATTAAGCGTAATATATTAAAGGTAAGACGTAAGACTAAGGTAATATATTAAAAATTTAAGAAAGAAGTTCTAAAATGTATTTCCAATAAAATTATACTTAACCGTTTTAGCTGCGTAGTAATCGATATGTACCGTAAATATCTACTTAAAAATAATATATAACATTATTTTTTGATTTGTAACATACAATTCTAATCTACACAAGTGATATATTTAATTATTTCGAAAAAAATATATTTAGTAATAAAAATTGATTTCCCGCAAACATTTTATCTATGTAGATCAGTAAAAAAGATAGATAGTCGTTCGTTGTTTTATCATATAAATACATGTAATTTATATTATTGTAACGTTTTATTTGTCCAATAGAAAAGAATTGCGTTTCATCTGCGTTATTCGTCTATTTTTAATTGTTTATTTATTTTTAAATATTGTTCTTTTTTGGAAATCCCAGTGATCTGATAATCTGTATACAAATTACAGTTTATAAAACAGGAAATTCTGGAGGTAAAAGTGGTTGGAGAATCCAACCACAGCGAGTGGTCATTGCATCGGCATTTCCGTAAAGTTTCCTTTCGAAAAAGAAAAAATAACAATAATACCGTTCTGTGATTTAAAATAGCAGAAATTATTTTCGGAGAGAATAGATAATTTATGTAAGCGTATAATGTACAATAGTATTTCAACTTTTGTTAATTACACACATTCAAATACCGATTAAACATTATTTCAAAAATTAGAATATATAATTTCAATATATATATATATATATATATATATAATATTCTTATTTACTTTTTCTTCATTTACTTATTATTCTAATAATGGAATTCTTTTGGAAATATCTTGTTTTCTAATCTGTATATATTTAATAATCTTAGATTAAAATTAGATAAAGAACTATATATTAAATCTGATCTAACAATTCTCTTAACAACCTTACATCAGTATATCATGTAAGGTCCTTTTTTTTGAAGTACAGCTAATCATAGCAGTAATGAAATTCAATTAAAACTATTTTCTGAAAGGGTGTTCCTTTTTTAAATCATTTAATCAAGAGCATGATATCGTTTTTACTTTAAGGTT